ATGTGATATATTTTGGGTCTTATGAGACCTAACTTAGGATGTCTAATTATCTAATGGTCATTTTATGATAGGCTATAGGCTTTACACACACAAATTGGCATAGCTGCATATGCATAGCATAAGATCGTCTGGACCAATGAGCATCAAAATAAAATCGCCATATTGATTTACATAGCATGCTCATTGGTCCAGACCATAGACATAGTATATCTAGATCGAGTGTTGAGGAGTGGGGGCCAAGGTACATACTCTGTTCCGTGCTCCTTGCGTTCTCTCTCACTCGCATGTAGCATAGCGAAAGAGTACGCTATGCTACGTGCGAGCGAGAGAGAACGCAAGGGGCACGAAACACAGTATGTCCTTTTCTACGTGCATCTTTACCCCCACTCATTAAATAAAGGCAAACGCTCGGTCTAGATATACTATGCCTATGGTCGCGGCATACCTTGCTCGATGAGAAACGTCAGCACTGTAAATAGAAGCGCCGGAAGCGCTTCGTGGCGCTTCGGAAAGCTACCGGTTGTATTCGCGTTGCGCATCGGTCTCATTACACGCAATCGGAGTCATCAGAGTTGATTAAAATATTCGAGGTTTGACGTCTTTCATGCTTAGGAGTCGGTTTAGATCGTCGAAACAATCACTAAAATGGCAAGCTTCCCGGTGCTGAATCCGGTAAGTCTTTGTTTGCGTCACTTTGTGGTTTGTCATCTCTCTTTAACGAGATTTCCATTGATCCGCAAAGTACCCGCATTGCCGATACTTAAAACAAATGCGCATTCTTAGCACAACTAATCGTGATCATTGTATTTATAAATTATACATGATAATATGTGAGCCATTATAAATTATAAATTATAAGATTGTCATTAGAAACTATATATTTAGGTCATAAATTATAAATTGTCATTTGAAAAAATATACATTATATGATTGTCATTAGAAATTATATATTCATGATACTTGTTAATTAAAATTAGAATATATATTATTATGGCTTATTTTATTTATGTGAAAGATACCGTTATGGGAATTTTGCTCTAATTGTTATTTACAATTAATATTCAGAATTATACATAGTCAAATTTTGAGCCTCTGTTATTGCTATTTTTAGAAAATTGTTTATTCGTATTTTGAAATTTGGCAATTTTGCAACAGGAAATCCCATATGTGGGAAAAGTGGAAGGAGGTTTAAGAGCAGGTACTATGGTGACAATACGAGGCGAAGTGCCATCTCAGGCTGTGCGATTCGCCATCAATTATCAACTAGGACCAACATTAAATCCGAGGGACGACATAGCCATTCACGTGTCCCCGCGTTTCGCTGAAGGTTTCGTTACCAGAAATAGCATAGAATCGATGATCTGGGGCATGGAGGAGAACTCTGGTCCATTGTGGATTCATCCTGGTCAGAAATTTGAAATGATGATTCTATGCGATTATCACTGCTACAAGATTGCCATAAATGGCAGTCACTTCGCAGAGTTTGCTCATCGATTACCATTCATAAAAGTTACCCATCTGGTTATCGACGGTGATGTTGAGATACACTCCATCAATTATGAACAAGTGTCAGTTGATCCACCAAAGTCCCCTGCTACAGCACCAGAGGGTGTACCAACTGCTGATTTTGGACCACCACGTAAAAAGCCATATATATTTCTAAATGAAATTATAATATATTAATATTGTAACTTCATAAATCAATTCTTCTTCTCCTTAAACTAGCACCTGGTGGATTGTATCCAACGATTCAACTGCATGGTGGATATGGACCTCCTCCTCCAACTGGTTATGGACCTCCCCCGCCGGCTGGTTATGGTCCCTCTCCCGATGCCTATGGTGGTCCTGATGGTTACAATCCATCCAGAGGTTATGGGTATCAACCTGAGAAACCAGAAGAAGAAGGTGTCTTTGGAGATTGTTTAGACAAAGTTGGATTAGCGATAGGCGGTTTAGTGGCGGCCGGAGGAGTAGCGGCAGCCATGCACGCGATAAATGTAAAGATATATTCAAATTTATTGCTATATTTACAATGTTAGAGGCCACTAAAGCTTAAACATGCACGACTATTTGTAGAAGAAAAAGGAAGAAGGTGAAGAGAAGGATCACGAAAAATCGGACGCTTCCAAGTCGAAGACGGAAAGTGAAGGTGGTTTTGGAAATTTAGCTGGGTCTCTCGGAATGGCTTTAGCTAGTAGTCTGGCGAGCAGCGCCTTGCAAAGCAACACACACGCACAGCAAGGCTATCCTGCCCAGCAGCAATCGGGCGGCGGCGGTGTATTAGGCTCTATTTTTGGAGCCTTGGGTATAATATATATTTATATAATTTGAATTTTTCAAAAAAACACATGGGATATAATCGAGGATATGTATCTTTAGATGTTTTGACATGTATCAATTTCCACATATATGGAATATTTGCGATTCGGAAGGAAAAACAAATTAATTTTAAACGAATAGTATCTTTGGTAATTCTGTAAATGGATATATATCGTGATTCTATAAGTTAGAAAATCCGTAAATAAATGCTGCCGTGACTGGCTGAGTGACATCATCGCGTTGGAATTATTGCCAAGGATGGGAGTGTTTCTCAGACTAGATAAATGGATAGATGATTATCTGTCTAAGCTATAGTATCAGGAATACCTGATACTATACCTAAGATGAGAGCAATTTATGATGCCTTTGGCTTTTTTTATTGATGATACTAGGTGGTGGAGGATCTCAACAACCTGCCTATTCTTCAAATCAGCCGGCCGCCGGTGATAATCTGAGCGGAACGTTAGGATCTATACTTGGTGGCGTTCTCGGCGGTGGTGGAAGTCATCAGCAACCAGCATATCAACCATCGGGAGGCTACGGCGGCTATCCACCGTCAGGTGGCTATCCGGCGTCCGGCGGTGGATATGGTGGTCAGAGTTCTGGCGGATCGGATCTCTTATCGGGAATAGGATCTGCCTTGTTTAGTTCGGCTTTGGACGGTCTAAGCAAACGTGGAAAAGATGTAACTACACGCTATATTTTTGACTTTAGCGACGTATATCATTAAAAAATACGGAGTAAAAGTTTTTAATAACGCTTATAAATGATGTTTCGTAAATTCTTTCTCTTTTGTATAGAAATCTTATGACGAACATCGTTCCGGACCCCCTCCGAATTACGAGCCTCCTCCACCAGCACCCCTAACAAAATCAGCTCCGCGTCCGGAAACTCCACCGTCTTCGGGCGGGCACAAATTAACGGCGGACGAAATTTCGAAGGGACTTGGATTGGATGATTAAACGCGCTTCAACGACGCAGAAAGAAACTTTAGCCTACAAATATACGCACATAGTGTAACGATCTTATGCTCTCTGGTTGCTTGAAAACGTAATCTCTATACGATTGTAAATCTCGTTCATTGAAATATGATGCGCGATGTACTCGTTTGCCTTTTGAACCAGTAGATTTTTAATCATACTGGCAGCTATATAAGATATAGAAATGCGAGCGATTATCTCTCGATATTATATATATAAATGAATCTTGTATAATTGATAGAAATTAATTAAATAGAATTAAGTTCGTTCCAAAACTGCTTTTAAAGATTTTAAAGATTGCATATCTTTTAGATAGGAGACAAATTAGAAATCGAACATATATATCACAAATATAATTAAATATATGTCTTTACGAAGCCTTCCACGTGAAATAATCCACAATTGATAATTATGCAGACATATATAGCAATGAGAAGTTGATATATTTTTTAAGATTATATTTTTATATAAGCATGTTTTATTGTTTTATAAGAGAAAGTGTGGTCTTAAACAGATATATATAATATATATGCCTTATATACATATATTTATATATGAATTGCACAGATAATGTATAATCGTTATTTATTATTTATATCAGAAAATTATATATATACATCTCACAGCAAATAAAACATATTAGATTTGTTCTAGAAATCTTTTTTTTTTTATATTTGATCATGACCAAGAGCTTCCATTAACAATATTATTTTCAACATCGCATCATGCTTTTTTGAAATATGTGTGAATTACAAGTTTAATAAAATATTACACAATAATCATAAAAAATATTAAGAGAGATGGTAGTTTTTATTTATAAAACATGAGTTTTTTTAACTAATTTATAAAACTTTTATATGACACTTTAAACTTTAAACATGTTTTGAACGTATGTTTGTTTGTTATAAACATATATTTTTCTTTTTGACACTATTTAAAACATATCTAAAACATTAGAAGTACATCATAAAAAAGAAAAGAACAGTTTATATCATCCTTAGGAATCGTGGACATTTTCAACGCCGTTTCCATTGAATGAGTTTCCGAAAGAAGCTAGCACATTAAGAGAACACTACCAACCCTACACAGAAGATGCCCATGATGCCCAAGGACGGTATAAACTTTTTTTTTATTATAATATGCTTCAGGTTGGATTTGAATCCGAACCTTTCGGCACAGGAGAGCAGACGCACAACCCTTTGCGCCACGATCGCACACGAGAAGAATAATAGGATAAATAAATTATATGGAATTTATGTGTGAATTTAATTTGTTCTATATATAAAACATATTTCATTGTCTACAAATTGTCTAGATAGGCACTTCTTCTTCTTCTTTAGAAACATTGCGAAAATTAATAAATGGGAATAATGTAGAATATAATATATAAAATAATACAAGTTTTATATTTTCTTTCAGTTTATGAATTTTATATATTATATAAGATACAATATTTTATTTTTCCTTAACGCCTCTCTTTTTTTAGGCTTTTGTAGTAGAGTGTTACAGAAAAAAACGGAGACACACACATGATTAATTATTTAATCAATATTTCCATAATCTTGTTTTCTTTTATATGCAATAATTACATATTGTCATATACTTGGCGTCGCGACGCTACCGCGTCGCTTGATCCCTTTAGATATTTCTAAGAGAGAGAGGGGGGAGGGAGGGAAAGGGAGAGTAGGGAAGAGAGAGAGAATAATATTTATATAATTATTATTTCTTAATAATA